TTATTCTTTCCCTCCATTTTATATTTCATTTCAGTTACTGTATTCTTCAGCTCTGAGTGGCTCTTTTTCAACTCCAGTTTCTTTGTCAAAGTCTTCAATACTTTTCTGCAGATCAGTGAGCAGATTTATGACTGTTGCTTTGAAATCTTTATCAAGAAGATTGGTGATCTCCATTTCATTTAGCTTTCTCTCTGGTGTCTTATCCTGTAGTTTTGTTTGGAACATACTCCTCTGCCTCCTCATTTTGTTAGGGTTTCTGTGTTTCTTCCTTTGTATTAGATGGATCTGCTATGCATCCTGGTCTAGAGAGTAGTGGCTTTATGAAGAAGGTGTCCCATGGTGCCCAGAAGCTCAAAACTCTTTCCTTTTCAGTGCCTGGTTTTCCTTTGCAGTGGAGCCCCAGTTACTGTTGTTGGGCCAGGTTGGGTCAGGTCACCTGTCTTTCTGTCTGCCAGCAGTCATGTAACTCAGTCCTCTGAGGCAGGCAGTTTGCCTCAGCTGGCCCTTTGTGATCAGAGCAGTGGCTTCTGCTGGGATCATTGTGGGTAGTCCACCCTCTGCTTCCGTGCAGCAGTGGCAGTGCAGCTGGGTTAATAGGGTGGTGGGGTAGCTTGGTAAGTCACACAATGCGGGTGGGGGAGTGCAGGCATGCTGTTGAGGTATGTAGCACTGGACTTGGCTATTTGCAGGGAGGAAGGAGCACTTGTAGTTGGCCCCTGCAGATGCCTCTTTAACTGTACTGAGAAAGCCTGGAAAGGCTCCCTTCTGCCTGTTAGATAGCAAAGTCTGATACCGCTGGGCCAAGTGGCCTGGCATGCAGGTGGTGCACAGGGAAGCGCCTTGGTGTTGAGCTGCCATTGGCGGGGATGAAGCATCTGAGGCTCCTGAGAGTGTCCTACCTGTTGGGCCAAGGGATGCCTGGGGAGGTAATATCCACCTGCCCTCTCTCCTGCAGGGAGAGTTCCATCCAACTGTCGCCCCTCTGGTACCTCTCCCACTGCTAGCAAGTCTTTAAAACTGCTACCTCTGTGTTGGGTCTCAGTGGGACCATTTGAGTGTGCCTCTTCTCTACAAGTGACTGGAGTCTCAGCCTCCCAGAGTGCTCTTACTGTCCCTGGTGTCCAGCCCCATGAATCACCAGAACCCAGTGCAATATGGACTTGTGTTCCCAGAGCAGATCTCTAGGGCCGGGTGTGCAGCGTTCCTGAGCACCTCTCCCCATCCCACTCCATTCCTCTTCCTCCTGACTGTGGGCTGGGATGGGAGAAGGGCTTTGGTCCTGCTTGATTGATGCTCTACCACTTTACCCTTGTCTGCGATGGTCTGTTCTTTAGTCTTTGGGGTCGTTTTCAGGATTAGTTCTATTTGCTGTAGTTACTTCTTTGGTGTGTGTTTGGGAGGTTTCTTCCTTGCCTTCTACTTGGCCATCTTTTCTCCCTCTCTCTCTACTTGATTTTTTTTTTTTGATATCCTTAATGAACAATTACTTGAACAACATTATGGTTACTAGACTCCCCCATTATCATCTACTTGATTTTTTAAAATCATAAATTCTAAAGAGGTTTCAGTTTCTATTAAGGTCAGTAGTCTTGCAGCTATAAATTTGCCCACTCTTAGGTACTAATTTTATTTTACCTTCTGAGATGTTTCTACTCAATACTTATATATGAGAAGCTTTAAGACATGTGAGAAAAACATGCTAACCTTACTCAAAAAAATAATTAATTTGCTTGAAGCCATTAGTCCAATAATGCAGTGTTTCCCTTAGAAATGAATAGGTCAATAATGAAAATACAGATTAGTAATTTTGAAGCCAGCATGTTTTTATTTACTGATTTCAGAGGCAGAAGTCCTTATAGCTTGTGATAACTGCTTCTCATTTTCTGTGAAAATGAGTTTAAAGGTCTGGTGTATTTTTTTCATTTTCCTGCTTACTTTTAACATTTTTCTCTATACATTTCAAAATTAGTTGTTATTGTGGGGTACAAGATTTAGAAATAATAACATTTGTTAACATTCAAACAGTTATTTTATAAGCATAATACCAGTTCTATTTACTCTTTTTGATAATGGAATTTTGTCTGAAATAAAGTCATTTTTTGCAGGTCAGTAGCAGTATTTGTTTTAAGGCTGTTTTAATGTGTTCATACAATATGTCAAATGGAACATGTTGAGTTCGCCAAAAAAAGAATGCAAGAGTACTCAGATTTTTAGATGGGAAAACTTTAAAATACTAAGAAACATGGTTGTAAAATGTTTTCTTGTAGGGAAAGAACAGGTTTTTTAAAGTTTTGGTAGTCTTTGATTTAAATAAGTAGTATGCCTATTTACCAGAAAACTAATATAAGACAGTGTTAGCATTATTTTGGATAGCATTAACCTACTCTGAGCCAAGAAATAATAGGAGTGGAGGGGGGAATGTCTTATTTTGACATTCTTTTATTTAACCTTTTATTCTGTTACATATGTATTATAACATCTTCTTTATATAAAACTATATAGAAATAGTAACGTTTTGCAAATGGAGCATGGACCCCTTCTTCCACCTTCTTGAAGGGCATTGTACCTTCTCTGTATAAATACCACAGTGTAGGTTGTTACCAACTTTAGTGTTTAACTAAAAACAAATCTATGACAGGGAATGGTTAGTCATATCCTGGGATGAAATCAATTATGGTTGCTATTATATCAACATTAGAAAAAAACAACCAACCAATACCTCTCTCTGCCTTAGAAACAGATTATATTTACTATACCTTATTGGTTAGATTTTTACTGATTTCTGCCTATGCAATTGTGACCCTTGATATAGTTGATGTCTTTTTTTAAAAAAATATATTTTTAATTGTTTTATAGAAATAATATATATACATTGCAGAACATTTAGAGATTTATGAAAGTATAAAGAGCAAATAAATTTATTTGTAATTCCTCCTTCTAGAGAAGAAAACTACTTCTAATGAGAGAGAATCAAAATCAGAATTCTTCTCTAGTCTGAGAAGAATATAGTAGTTATTTGTGGTGGTTGCTAGTACTGTTCAGCACTCTTTCTGGTTCTTCACTTCTGTTCCCATGGTAAAATTACACTTCCTCTTATAATTAGGTATGGCTGTGTGATTAGTGAAATATGAGTAGAAGTGAAGTGTCAGCTTCCAGGTAGAAGCACACATCCAGGATGTGTGATGGTTTGCAGTAAATCCTTCCTCCTGCTGCAGTGAGGTGCTGCAGGTGTTGAGAGAGGCTCAGTGGCCTGTGTGCCTGATCATAGACAGTAGGAAACAAAACCTCTCTTGTCTTCCTCAGCCCCTGAGAGCTTGCATGAACACAAAGTAAATCTTTGTTGTTATAAGCCATTGAGATTTTAGAGTTACTTTGACAGTTACAGAAGTATTAAGGATCATATCTAGACAGTAGATAGATACTGCCTAGACACTACTAAGAATTTATATGAATGTGTTCATTAAATAATGACAATATTTGGGAAATTGTGAAGAAAATATTTTAAATAAAGGACTTGCTTAGTAGTCTTAATCTGTATATAAATAGGGTAGATAGAATTCAGCTTGTTGTAGAATATGTTTGAAAATTAAAATGGAGAAAAGCCTTGTGGGACAGCAAGGTTGAGGGGGAAATTCTAGGTAGGCTGCATTAAGGTACTTGGAAAAATTGGACACAGAAGTTAAACAAGAGGCTTAAGATATTTAGTGTAGTTTGAATTTTTTTTTTTGAGAACCACAAGAAATGGTTTCTTCCCTTCCCTTCCCTCCCCTTTCCTCCCCTTCCCTCCTCTTCCCTCCCCTTCCCTCCCCTCCACTCCCCTTCTCTTCCCTTCCCTTCCCTTCCCTTCCTCCTTTCTCCCTTCTCTTTCCTTCCTTTCTTTCTTCCATTTCTTCTTTCCTTCCTTCCTTCCTCCCTCCCCCTTCTGTTTCTCTTCCTTCCTTCCTTCCTTCCTTCCTTCCTTCCTTCCTTCCTTCCTAGGAAGGAAGGAAGGAAGGAAGGAAGGAAGGAATGTGGCTAACAGGAAGGGGAGCCCTACAGTCAATAATCACATTATTCTTTTATCTACTTATTTATTCAATGAATATGTATTAGGTGGCATGTATGTGCCATGTGGTCTTTGTTGCATGGAAGCTCACCATAACAGATATATAGATAGTCTTTCTAAATGCTGAAGGATCTGGTTATTTATAGGCTCAGGATGAGTTTGTGTCGGTGTGTACACTTAGGTTGTGTGCACATGTACATCTGGCCTTTTAGGGCTACTTCTGGGGAAAAGAAGCATTGGTCATTATTCAAATGTGCCTAGGATCATATCTACCTAAAAGGGATTGTTGCCTTACTTTGGTGTGAGACTTCTGTATATTTGTGTGAGAAGGAGTCCTTGACTGCTATAGTGTTCTAGCTTCGATGAAAGGTAGGGAAAAATATTATCTTTAGCTGCTCTAGTTCCAGTTTACTTAGACATGGGGTTATTTTAGGTTAAGTGTATCATCTGTACATCGGTTTTCAAACATGAGTCAAATATTTTTGGTCATGAAATCAATTTAATTGGCTGTGAACAGGATTTTTTAATAAGAAGTAGAAAAAAAAATCAGTGTGTAGCCCATTGTGAGGGTGGAACTTTTCTTGCATTTATTTATACATGTATGTTATCCTAGGTTGTAATGTGAAATGTATTTCTTACTGTAGGTTGCTGTAAAAAATATTTCAAAGCATTTTTTTAGTATAGGTAGTAAGAGTCAGTGACAAAATAGGATTTATAAGGTTAAATGATAGAAAAATAATATATATTTTAAGTATATTTATACTTAGAATGCTGAGTAGTTCTGTTGAGTATATGAACACAAGTGTTATACCATAAAAAGTGATGAAAATTAAAATTTTAAAAATTTAGACATTAATGATTAAACTATGCAACTTAGAAATTCCTATTGGGGTATGAAGTAAAATGATTTAATATTCCATTTTGTTAGATTTAGTTTTTATTATGTTTATTGTAGGAGATTCAGGTGTTTGGGGATTGAAAAAAAATTTTGCTTTGTTGGAACTTTTGGAACGACTGCAGAATGGACATGTTGGTCAGTATGGAGCTGCAGAAGAAGCCATTGGGATATCTGGCAAGGTACTGATTGAATTTGGTGAAATATTTGCTATAAACATGAATTTTTTCTTTTAATTTAAAATATTTGCCATTAAAAGCACAATATTACCTTATTTACTGTAGCTGATAGGATTCCAGAAATACAACCTTTAGTTATGTTACAGTTCTGAAGGCAACAATATTCCAGACAGAACAAAAGTAAATGAAACTTGAGTTCTCTGAAAATATTATACCCAAACTATGCTTTGGGTATAAACTTGTCTCCTTATCATAATTCCTCCTGATCAGAATAAAGTGAAAAGGGTAGAAGGTTGTGGAAGAGTAAGAAGAATGTGTAAGCTGCATTTAAGCTGAGGATGCAAAAATGAATCAGTCAACAATAAAGCACAAAAAAAGAAAGAAGAACTCCATGAAAGAGGCTATTTAGGACAGACACAAAACGCCTTAAAGATAGCAGTAGCTTCTGAGGGAATGACTATTATTAAATGTCTTCATGGGAAGGTTAGATTGTGTATAGGTATAATCTCTTTATGCAGACAGGCTGATATCCAGCAAATATTAGAACAAAGCTATTAACACAGGTTGTAATGATTGGGATTTAGTATTAAGACATTAATTTTTTTTGTTTATCAGAGCATCATTCGTTGCGATGAAGATGAAGCCCATGTGGCATCTGTATATTGCACTGTATGTGCAACCCACTTGTGTTCAGAATGTTCCCAAGTTACTCATTCTACAAAGACATTAGTGAAGCACAGGCGAGTGCCTCTAGCTGATAAACCTCATGAGAAAACCATGTGCTGTCAGCATCAGGTGCATGCCATTGAGTTTGTTTGCTTGGAAGAAGGCTGTCAGACTAGCCCACTTATGTGCTGTGTCTGCAAAGAATATGGAAAACACCAAGGTCACAAGGTATGAGTATGATTATATTAGATGATACCAGCCCACCATTTGTTTTCATTGACTTGGTTCTTTTTTGCTAAAAGGTAGTGAGTTGAGGTTGGTAGTATGAAAAGAAACAGATTTTCCAGATTTCATAACAAAAATTTGAGAGAGGTCTCATGATTCTTTATTGAAAAGTAGCTTTCTAGTAAGAAACAAAAGTCCTCTTCTTTGTGTTTTCATGATTTCATAATGCACTGCATGTATTTAACAATATTTATGTCTATTGATGAACTACTTCTTATAATAAAATTATAGAGAGAGTCTCCTGGGATTCTGCTTTAGTGATAAATGAACTTCCAAATTTTTAATTATTTATTTGAAGGATATATGGTTTTAGGTTGAAGGCAAATTAGTATTCTTAGGCCGTTCTTTTTGTAAATGTGTTATAAAAGCCACTTGTGGTTGATGCCTTTTTAAAAATGAGATCAATTTAAATAGTATTTTATATCATTAGTCAAAACTATGAGTTCTTTTCTATAATTGTGTTGCTCTCTATAGCATTCAGTATTGGAACCAGAAGCTAACCAGATCCGAGCATCAATTTTAGATATGGCTCACTGCATACGGACCTTTACTGAGGAAATCTCAGATTATTCCAGAAAATTAGTTGGAATTGTTCAGCACATTGAAGGAGGAGAACAAATAGTGGAAGATGGAATTGGAATGGCCCACACAGAACATGTATGGCATTTTTTCTTTCTTTTTTATCTGCTTACCCTTTTTCCATCTCACTTTTTTACCTTCTTGTATTTATTGAACAATTGCATTGTGCCAGTAGTATACTGGTCACTGGAAATAAGTTTTTAAAAAAGTCTCTGTCTTCATGGGATTTATAATCTATCATGGAAGAGAGGCAGCTTCAAGTGTGGTAACTTTATTTTGTGGGGGAAGTAGAGGATACCAGCCAGTGCATAATTTAGGTCAGTTAGGTAAGGCTTTCTAGAAGACATGATATCTTAAACTGAAATTTCAAGGAAATGAGTCAGGGAGAAGAGTGGGGTTGGGGAGTGAGTTGTCCCAGAGATGGACGTGTATGTTAAAAATGCCTGGAAGTGAGAATTGGTCATACAGACACTTAGCTAGGTTCACTATGGTTGAAGCTTTGAATATTGGGTGAGGTGTGGCAAGAAAAGATACGGAGAATTAAGAGCCAAATCATGAAGGGTCTTGTTAGCCATGTAAAAGCATTTGGGCTATATGTTAAGGATAGTGATGAGCCATTGAAGAATGGGCATAGCAATAACATAATCAGATTTGCATTAAGAAAGGTTGCTTTTCAGTGTAGAAAATGAATTGAAGGAGCAACAAGATTGGAAGCAGGGAGACTTATTAGGTGGTGGTTGAAATATACAGTTGAAAAATGATTATGGTTTTGGCTTAAAGATGGTGGTGTGAGAGGTGCAATAAAATCTCCTCCCAAAACCACATATAATATGAAAATGTAGCAAATGCATCTAATTCTGAAAGAGCAACAGGAAAGAAGGCTGCAACAGACTGCCTACACTTGGGGAAAAGAGCAGACCTCACAGAAAAGGATAAAGTACCAAAGCCATGATCCAGTGGGACCAAAGCCCTTCCCCCACCCCAGGTCACTGGCAGGAGGGAGAGAAATGAAGTGGGAAGGGGGTGGAGGCCTAGGGCTGCTGAACACCTGCCCTGGAAATCTGCTCTGGGAGTACAAACCTACATTACATGGCGATGTAGAGATGAGTGGTTTAGAAAGCTAAGACAGGCAGAATACTTGGAGAGACTGAGATTCCAGCTGCTTGTGGAGAACAGGTACCCAAAAAAGAGGCAGGCTCTCTGATATACTTCCTAACAGCCAGAGGGCTGCTAAAGGGAAACTATTGCACAGAGCTTGTTGCTCAGGAGAAAGGACAGGTGGACAAAATTATCTCAGCACACTCAGCCCAGCAGGTTGGGAACTTTCAGGAGCTTCAGGTGCTCCATACCCCTATCTGGCAATGAAGCTTCAAGGCCCCCCCATCATAATACGCAGCCTGTCACTCCTTCCTCCCAGCCAGCACCGGCTTGCAAACCTGCGGCCCCCAGCCATTGTGACAGGCCATTGTGGTACTCCCTATTGCAGGTACAAGGATGAAGCATAGAGGCTCCTCTTTGCGCATTCATCCTACTGGCCCTGGCAGTGGAGGCAGGGAGTGCAACTGGGAAGCAGGAAAGAGCTCTTTTCTCATGGCAGACACCGGCACTGCCAGCCTGCGACCCCTGCCATCGTTCTAGTCAATGAGCAGCTCCAGAGAGTAGAGCTTCTGGGCACCATAGGGTGCTGCCTACACCAAGTTATTTTTATAAATATGAAACATCAAAGGAACCTGGTACAAATCAAAATCCCGCAAACACCGAAAGAGGGCCAAGTGAAACTGAACTCACCAATCTTCCTGAAAAAGATTTCAAAATAAAAATCATAAACATACTAACGGAACTACCGAAAAATATTCAAGACATCAGGGAGGACATCAAGAAAGAGACAGAAACTTTGAAAAATACAGTATCTGAAATGAAACATACAATGGAGGGATTTAAAAGCATATTAGATGAAGTAGAGGAGATGGTAAATGAAATAGGAATTAGAGAAGAGGAATACAAAGAAGCTGAGGCACAAAGAGAAAAAAGGATGTCTAGGAATGAAAGAATAAAAGACAACTGCGTGATCAATCCAGATGGAACAGTATTTTCATTTTAGGGGTACCAGAAGAAGAAGAGACAGAAAAAGGGATAGAAAGTGTCTTTGAGGAGGTAATTGCTGAGAACTTTCCCAATCTGGGAAAGGACATAGACTCTCAGGCCATGGAGGTGCACAGATCTCCCAACATAAGGGACCCAAAGAAGACAACACCAAGACATACAATAATTAAATGGCAAAGATCAAGGATAAGGACAGACTATTAAAAGCAACCAGAGAGAGAGAAAAGACCACATACAAAGGAAAATCCATCAGGCTATCATCAGACTTCTCAACAGAAACCTTACAGGCCAGAAGGGAGTAGCATGATATATTTAATGCAATGAAACAGAAAGGCCTCAAACCAAGAATATCTACCCAGCAAGATTATCATTAAAGTTTGAAGGAGGGATTAAACAGTTTTCAGATAAGCAAAAGCTGAGAGAATTTTACCTCCCACAAACCATCTCTAGAGTGTATTTTGGAGGGACTGCTATAGATGGAAGTACATCTAAGGCTAAATAGCTGTCACTAGAGAAAATAAAACCACAGTAAAGTAAATAGACCAATTAATTACTAAGCAAATGCAAAATTGAATCAAGTATCCTCAAAGTCAGTCAAGGGATACAAAAAGAGTATAGAATATGATACCTAATACATAAGAATAGAGGAGGAAGAAAAAGGAGGACAGAAAAAACCTTTAATTGTGTTTCTAATAACATACTATGTGAGTTAAGTTAGACTGTTAGATAGTAAAGAAGCTACCCTTAAACCTTTGGTAACCAGGAATCAAAAGCCTGCAATGGCAATAAGTACATATCTATCGATAATCACCCTAAATGTAAATGGTCTGAATGAACCAATCAAAAGACAGAGTCACTGAATGTATAAAGAAACAAGACCCATCTATATGCAGCCTACAAGAAACTCATGTGAAACCCGAAGACATAAACAGACTAAAAGTGAAGGGATGGAAAAAGATATTTCATGCAACTAATAGGGAGAAAAAAGCAGGTGTTGCAGAAGTTGTATCAGATGAAATAGACTTCAAAACAAAGAAAGTAACAAGAGACAAAGAAGGACATTACATAATGATAATGAGGTCAGTTCAACAAGAGGATATAACCATTATAAACATCTATTCACCCAACATAGGAGCACCCACATAATGTGAAACAAATACTGAAAGAATTAAAGGGGGAAGTAGTATGCAGTGCATTCATTTTAGGAGAGTTCAACACACCACTCACTCCAAAGGACAGATAAACCAGACAGAAAATCAGTAAGGAGACAGAGGCACCCAACAACGTATTAGAACAGATGGACCTAACAGACATGTACAGGACACACAAAAGGAGCAGGATACACATTCTTCTCAAGTGCACATGGAACATTTTCAAGAATAGCTCATATATTAGGCCACAAAAAGAGCCTCAGTAAATTCAAAAGGGTTGAAATTGTACGAACCATCTTCTCAGACAACAAAGGTATGAAACTAGATATAAATTATGCAAACAAAACAAAAAAGCCCACAAACACATAGAGATTTAACAACATGCTCCTAAATAATGAATGGGTCAATGACCAAATAAAAACAGATATCAAAATATAGAAACAAATGACAACAATAACTCAACACCCCAAAATCTGTGGGACGTAGCGAAGCCTGTGCCAAGAGGGAAGTATACTGCAGTACAGGCTTACATTAGGAAGGAAGAACAATCCCAAATAAACAGTCTGAACTTACAATGAAACTGAAAAAAGAAGAATAAATGAGGCCCAAAGTCAGGAGAAGGAGGGACATAATAAAGATCAGAGCAGAAATAAATAAAATCAAGAAGAATAAAACAATAGAAAGAATCAATGAAAGCAGGAGATGGTTCTTCGAGAAAATTAACAAATTAGATAAACCCCAGTTAGGCTAATCAAGAGAAAAGAGAGTCTACATGCATAAACAGAATCAGAAATGAGAAAGGAAAAATCACCTATGGACATCACAGAAATACAAAGAATTATTAGGGAATACTATAAAAAATTATATGGTAACAAATTGGATAACCTAGAAGAAGTGGACAACTTTCTAGAAAAATACAACCTTCCAAGGCTGACCTAGGAAGAAACAGAAAACCTGAACAGACCAATTACCAGCAACGAAATTGGTAATAAAAAACTAAGAACCAAAAAAACTCCAGAACTAGATGGCTTCACTGATGACTTTTGTCAAACATTTAGTAAAGACCTAATACCCATCCTCAAAGCTCTCCAATAAATAGAAGAGGTGGGAATACTTCCAAATTCATTTTGTGAGGCCACCATCACTCTAATACAAAAAGCAGACAAATTCACCACAAAAAAAGAAAACTACAGACCAATATCCCTGATGAACATAGATGAAAAAATACTCAACAAAATATTAGCAAACTGAATTCAAAAATACATTAAAAAAATCATCCATCATGATCAAGTGGAATGTATTCAAGGTATGCAAAGATAGTACAATGTCTGAAAATCTTCCATCATATATCACATTGACAAAAAGAAGGACAAAAACCTCATTATCATCTCCATAGATGCCAAAAAAGCATTTGACAGAATTCAACATCCATTCATGATAAAAACTATGAACGAAATGAGTATAGAGGGCAAGTACCTCAACCTAATAAAGGCCATATATGACAAAGCCACAGGGAACATCATACTAATAGCGAGAAGCTGAAAGCTTTTTCCTGTAAGATTGGGAAAAATAAAAGGATGCCCACTCTCCCCACTTTTATTCAACATAGTACTGGAGGTCCTAGCCACAGCAATCAGACAACACAAAGAAATAAAAGGCATCCATATTGGTAAGGAACAAGTTAAATTGTCACTGTTTGCAGATGTCATGATATTGTACATAAAAAAACCTAAAGAATCCACCCCAAAACTACTACAGTAAATGATTCATCAAAGTTGCAGGATACAAAATTAATATACAGAAATCTGTTGCATTCCTATATACTAATGATGAACTAGCAGAAAGAGAAATCAGGAAAGCAATTCCATTTACAATTGCATCAAAAAGAAAAAAATACCTAGAAGTAAACCTAACCAAGGAAGTGAAAGACCTATACCCTGAAACTATAATACACTCATGAGAGAAATTAAAGAAGATACCAATAAATGGAAACACATCCTGTGCTCATAGGTAGGAAGAATTAATATTGTCAAAATGGCCATCCTGCCTAAAGCAATCTACAGATTCAATGCAATCCCTATCAGAATACCGACAACATTCTTCAACGAGCTAGAGCAAGTAGTTCAAAAATTCATATGGAACCACAAAAGACCCTGAATAACCAAAGCAATCCTAAGAAGGAAGAATAATGAGAGGGGATTATGCTCCCCAACTTCAAGCTCTACTACAAAGCCATAGTAATCAGGACAATTTGGTATTGGCACACGAACAGACCCATAGATCAATGGAACAAAATAGAGAGTCCAGATATAAATCCAAGTATATATGGTCAATTAATATATGACAAAGGGGCCATAGATATACAGTGGGGAAATGAGAGCCTCTTCAACAACTGGTGTTGGCAAAACTGGACAGCTACATGTAAGAGAAAGAAAGTGGATAGTTGTCTAACTCCATACACGAAAGTAAACTCAAAATGGATCAAAGACCTAAATGTAAGTCATGAAACCATGAAACTCTTAGAAGAAAACATAGGCAAAACTCTCTTGAATATAAAAATGAGCAAATTTTTCATGAACATATCTCCTTGGACAAGGGAAACAAAAGCAAAAATGAATAAATGGGACTATATCAAGCTGAAAAGCTTCTGTAGAGCAAAGGACACCATCAGTAGAACAAAAAGGCATCCTACAGTATGGGAGAATATATTTGTAAACGACCTATCTGAAAAGGGGTTAACATCCAAAATATATAAAGAACTCACACGCCTCAACAAACAAAAAGCAAATAAGCCAATTAAAAAATGGGCAGAGGATCTGAACAGAAAGTTCTCCAAAGAAGAAATTCAGATGGCCAACAGGCACATGAAAAGATGCTCCACATTGGTAATTATTGGGGAAATGCAAATTAAAACCACAATGAGATATCATCTCACACCAGTTAGGATGGCCAACATCAAAAAGACAAGGAACAGAAAATGCTGATGATGCTGCTGAGAAAGGGGATCTCTCCTACACTGTTGGTGGGAATGTAAATTAGTTCAACCATTGTGGAAAGCAATATGGAAGTTCCTAAAAAAACTCAAAATAGAACTACCCTTTGACCCAGGAATTCTACCTCTAGGAATTTACCCCCCAAAAATAAGATCTCAGATTAAAAAAGACATATGCACTGCTATTTTTATTGTAGCATGATTTGCAGTAGCCAAGAAATGGAAGCAACCTAATTGTCCATAAATATTTGAATGGATAAAGAAGAGGTGGTACATACACACAATGGAATGTTATTCAGCCAAAAGAAGAAAACAAATCCTACCATTTGCAACAACATGGATGGAGCTGGAGAATATTTTGCTCAGTGAAATAAGCCTGGTGGAGAAAGACAAGTGCCAAATGATTTCCCTCATATGTGGAATATAACAATGAAGCAAACCTGAAGGAATAAAACAGCAGCAGACTCACAGACCCCAAGAAGGGGCTAGTGGTTACCAAAGGGTAGGTGAGGAGGATAGGTGGGGAGGGAGGTAGAAGGGAATTGAGGGGTATTAGGATTGGCACACATGGTAGGGGGGGTCACAGGGAAAACAATGTAACACAGAAGACAAGTAGTGACCCTATAGTATCTTACTGTGCTGATGGACAGTGACTGCAGGGGTGTGCTGGGGGGGGCTTGATAATATGGGTGAACATAGTAACTACAATGTTTTTCATGTGAAACCTTAATAGGAGTGTATATCAATGATACCTTAATTAAATAAAAAAGGGAAAAGAAAAATGATTATGGCCTATAATACTCGAGTATTGAGAATGGAGAGAAGTAGATGGATTTGATTTTAATGAAGTAGCATAAGAAAGTCTTTGATTGATTGATTGATTGATTGATTGATTGATAATATTGATTGGATAGGTAACTTGGAGGGTCAGGCATGATGCCTAGATTTCTACCTTGCCCAGCTAACTTGAGTGGATGGTGATGTCATGCACTAGTGGGGGAGGAGAAATAATTTTTTTGGAGGTAGATAATGGGAACAATATGATAATTTAATTTAGATGTTTCATTTATTATTTCTGTGATATAATCAAGGGGAGGCACCCTCTAGTGAATTTTAGAGTAAGTGGATGTTGGGAAGTGAATGTGTCTAAGAAGTTTGGATGTGAAGAGAAGAAGGAACTAAAGTGGTAGTTGTAGTTGCCTCTTAAAATTGAATTGTAGAAGAGAAAGGAATCTTTTCAGATCGGAATATAAAATACAGGTGGGACAAAATGATTTCCCTCATTTGTGGAGTATAACAATGAAGCAAAACTGAAGGAACAAAATAGCAGCAGACTCAGAGACTCCAAGAAGGAACTAATGGTTACCAGGGGGAGGGGTGTGGGAGGACGGGTTGGGAGGAAGGGAGGAGGGGATTGAGGGGTATTATGTTTGGTGCACATGGTGTGGGGGATCGCGGGGAAGACAGCGTGGCACAGAGAGGGCAAGTAGTGAATCTGTGGCATCTTGCTACACTGATGGATGGTGACTCCATTGGGGTATGGGTGGGGACTCGATGGTATGGGTAAGTATAGTAACCACATTGTTTTTGTTTTTTCATGTGAAACCTTCGTAAGAGTGTATATCACTAATACCTTAATAAAAAGTTAAAAAAAATACAGGTGGGACAGACAGAATATATTGTTTTTCTTTGGTAATCAAACTAATTGAAAGCTAATTCATTGAGGAATAATGCTAGAACTGTGCTGTCAAATATAGTAGCCATTTGCCACTTGTGGCCTTTTAAGTTTAAGTTATTTAAAAATTAAATAAAATGCAAACTTTTGTTCTTTTGTATTTATTTTATATATACCAAGTGTTAGACACTGTCCTAGCAGTGTTCTGGCTGAGGAGACACCTCCATGCAAGTCAAAAATCTCTGCCTTTCCAGAGTTTACAATCTGATGTGGGGCTGAGACAGTAAATAAGTAAAATACTTATGGTAGAATTATGATAGGTATTTTGGAGAAAAACAAGGAAAAGGGGGAAGTGCACTTTTATATAGATATTTAAGGACAGACTCCCAGAGGAGGAGACTTTAAGCAAAGGCCTGAAGTTCATGAGAAAGGGAACCATGCTAATATTTGGGGGAATTGCATGCCAGGCAGAGAGAAGAGCAAGTGCAAAGGCCCTGTAGTCAAAATGCACCTGTTGTGCTTAAGAAACTGTGAGGAGGCTGTATGTACCTAGAGGAGAATGATTGAGGGGAAGTGAAGCAGGAGTTGAGGTTAGAAAGGGTCTTACAAGAAGTCTTTGTTTAATAGGTATAGTGGTTTTGTTTGGGATGATAAAGAAAGTTCTAGAAATAGTGATGATGGTTATAGAACACTGTGAATGTACTTGATGTCAATGAATTACACATTTTAAAATGCTTAAATTGGTCATTTTTATATTATGTATATTTTGCTACAATAAAATGGTTTAAGAAGCTCAAACAAACAAAAAAAGATAAAAGAAATGGCCTTGCAGCACTTGCTCTTACTGCCAGGAATGCTCTTCTCTCAGATATTTGTATGGTTTCTTTTCTTACCTCCTTCAGGTATTTCCTCAGATGTCCCTTTCTCAGGGAGTCTGCCCTTGAATACCTCAGATAAACGACGTTGGCAGTTAGTCTGTGTGGAATGGGAAACCGCTGAAGAGTTTTGAGTAAAAGAATAATTATCTTTCTGACTTAACATTTAAAAGGCTCAGTCTGGCTGCTAGGTGGAGAATACATTGTAGGGGGCAGGGGTAGATCTAATGAGACCAATTAGAAGAATAGTGTAGTAATCAGGTGAGAGATGGTAATGGCATAGATGGGGTTCATGGAGGTAGAAGTAGTGAGGGATGATCAGAGTCTGGATATATTTTTAATTAAACAGAATTTGCTGAGGAACTGGTTATACAATAGGAAAGAGAAGTATTAAGGGTAACTCTTATTTTTTTGGTTCGAACAACCTGGAGGATGAAGTTGTGAATTATGGACATGGAGGAAAACTAAGTTTGGGGGTAAGAGAGACTAGAGAGCAGTCATTCTGTTTTCCTTGAGATGTCATTTAAACAGTTGCATATCCTAAGTCTGTGGTTGAGGGGAAAGGTCTAGTGTGGAGATGCAAAGTTTTGGATATAGATGGTATTTAAATTTGCATTATTCCACATATAAAATCTTTGTTAAGGGTACAGTTGTCTAAAAACATTTTTATTTTCTTAGGTGCCAGGTACTGCAGAGAATGCCCGGTCATGTGTCCGAGCTTATTTTTCTGATCTACATGAAACTCTTTGTCGTCAGGAGGAAATGGCTTTAAGTGTTGTTGATGCTCATGTTCGAGAGAAACTGATTTGGCTGAGGCAGCAACAAGAAGATATGACTGTTTTGTTGTCCCAGGTTTCAGCAGCCTGTCTGCATTGTGAAAAGACTTTGCAACAGGTAGGAAGTTTAAACATGGTTAGGACATCATTTAAGAAGTGTAATTTGTAAAAGTTAGGCAGATAATTACTAGAGGCACACACTAGTCTCTAATTAATTTAATAGCTATTTTATATAATCACTGTATGTTATTGTGTGCATTAATATCTAACCTCCAGTTGCTCCACCAGCCATATTGGTGTCTTGTCCTTCATGTGCTGTGCCCTCCCCACCATAAAACCGTGTATTCTAGAATCTAACTTCTTACCATTCTTCAGTCATATACTATTCTTTTGGCTTGGTGGGCTTATATCTCCCTTTTCTGATAGTAGAAATCCTCTTTCTTCAAAGTTTAGCTCCAATGTTTGCTTTTGTTTGAAGCTCTCTTCCTTGCTTTCTTTTTCTGGGTGTCTCTTTAGCATGTCCTACATGTCTTCTCTAATTCAGTGGTTCTTTACTTCAATGTTATAGTAAACCTATGTGTTTTGATGGTTGAAGTATCCTAAGCAGTTTGCTTTACCCCCAGTTTACGGTTGATGTACTTATTAAAACATTTAGATATGCAATTCTTTCTTTTTTTTATTGAAGTATCATTGATATGTAATCTTATATTGATTCCAAATATACAATAAGTGGTTTAACAGTTACCCATGTTATTAAATCCTCACCCCCACTAGTGGGATTACTGTCTGTCAACATAGAAAGATATTACAAAATCATTGGCTATATTCTCCAGGTCTACTACCATCCCCGTGACCAACTTATATTATGATTGGGAATTTTTGTGCCCCTTTATCCCCCTCACCCTCCTCACCCACCCACCCCAGCCCCTCCCCCATGGTAACCATTAGTCACTTCCCAGTGTCTATGAATCTGCTGCTGTTTTGTTCATTCTGTTTAGTTGTGTCTTTAGGTTCCACAAATAAGTGAAATCATATGGCATTTGTCTTTCTCTGTCTTATTTCACTGAGCATAATACCCTCTACATCCATCCATGTTGTTGCAAATGGCAGGATTTCTTTTTTTTAGTGGCTGAATAATATTCCACTGTGTATATGTACTACCTTTTCTTTATGCATTCATCTATTGATGGGCACTTAGATTGCTTCCATATTTTGGCTATTGTAAATAATGGGGCAGTAGACATAGGGGTGCATTTATCTTTGAATCAGTGATTTTGTTTTTTTCTGGTAAATTTCTAGGAGTGGAATTACTGGGTCAAATGGTATTTCTATTTTTAGTTTTTTAAGGAACCTCCATATTTCTTTCCACAGCAATTGTATCAGTTTACATTCTCACCAACAGTGTAGGAGGGTTCCCATTTCTCCACATCCTTGCCAACACTTGCTATTTCTTGTCTTTTGGATAATGGCCATTAAGTGGTATGAGGTGATAGCTCATTAAAGTTTTGATTTGCATTTCCTTGATGATTAGTGATGTGGAGCATCTTTTCATGTACCTGTTGGCCACAGATGATGTACTTTTAAAATAAGGTTGTTCTAACAAAAATGTCAGTCTTACTCATTTCTATTTTGGATCTGCTTTCATGAGTGGGCACTGTAAGGCTAATTATTGCCCTAGGGATTCCCAGTAAGTTGCAGTCTATCTCATATTTAATGATATATATTTCTAATAATCATGTTGATGATTTCAAATCACTCTAGAGCTAAACATTTCACCATTGAAAAGCTTTTTCTCTTAAATATATGATTAGACTTAGGTGCATGTGGTTAGGCTGTAACCACCTCAGTCTTGAGCTGTTGGTTTAGTCCTTGTAACACTAAGGTATAATAATTGATGCATATGCCATTTATTAAGCTGTTTTTGATCCTCCGTGTCCTTTGCTGTGTAATGCTGGGACTGTAGCTCTACAAACCATATATCTGCTTTGCCAGCTGGCTCCAAGCTAGTTTAGGCTCTGCTAGTAGGAGACAATAGAGCAATACTGGAAGGCATAGGAGGTTTCCTGTGGGTTCCCATTTAGATGGGTTTCCTGTGAGTGTCACTCCTCACTGAGGAAACCACTTTCCTCAGAGGCCTGAATTTCAGCTCTGTGAAGCCCCTCTTCTAAGTTTCTAAGTTTTAGTAATTCTAGCATCTCTGCTTTATTCCCCCAGCCCTGGGAGTGGTATCTGTTTCCTACAGTTGATACCTCACGGTACCTCAGTTTTTTTTTTTACTCTTTCAGTTATCTAGTTAATAACTGCACCTAGTTAACAATTCTTCACATTAAGTTTTTTTGTTCACATAACTGGTGTGGTTTTTGTTTTCCTAGTTTGAAGCTGAATAATACAGCATGCATGTTTGTCCTTCTAGATGTCGACTGGGTACATCTTGTTCATCTTGTGTCTCTAAATTCTTTGTATCTGGATGGAAAGAGCTTGATTACCAGCTACACAATCAAGCTACACAGTAAATCAGAAATGGATCATCATGTCCTAAATCCTATTTACTTAAATATTTCATAGTATTTTTATACTGATTTTATTAAAAAGTATCGTAGTTATGTAACTGAAATATTTAGAAGTATTTGAGTTTCTGAAGCATATGGCAAAGTGACTGGTAATTGTTAATGATATGGTATTGTCTTACTGTATTAGTGCAAATAAAATAGGGTCTTGGGTTCATTCTTCATATGGATCTAGTAGTTTTGTTCTGATTTATGGCCACAAAACCCTAACCCCAACCAATGTTCTTAAAAGTTCCTGTGACAGTGATAATTGAACAAAGGAAATGGTTACAACATTGTGTATTTATTCCTAATTTTGAGAACCAAACTTAATCATCCCTTACCTCCAAAAAATGATGCTTGATCTCAGTTCAAGGCATAATGCTGAATGGTAAGGATTTGTTTATTCACTTAGCAAATATGTATTGAATGCCTACTATGTGCCATGTACTTTCTAGGTACATGGACTGTATCAGTAAGCAAAAAGCCCATAATCTTATGGAATTAGCTTTATAGCAAGGAGAAGACACATATAGACCTTAACCATTCCTAAATAAATAAATTATTTAGTATTCTAAAAAGTGATAAGAGCAAAGAAAAAATTAAAAGTGTGGAGGTACAGCAGATTACATTATTAAACATCATTGAAGGAAGGTGAGGTTCAAGCAAAAACTCAGGTGGAAGAAGGTAAAGGAACTCATTTAAGCCCTAATAAAGGGAAGAACATTCCAGCTGAGGAAATGGTTAGAAGAAAAAACCCTAGAGCAGCACGCCTGGTGCATTTGAGGAACAGCAAAAGAGGCCAAATAGAGTAAGATGTCGGGATCTGACAGGAGCAGAAGACTATTTGGCTGGAATAGAATAAACAAAGGAGAGAGTAATAGGAGCTGAAATCAGGGGAAGTAGGGGACTGTACATAAAGAAGGTTTTGTGGGCCATTGGAAGGTCTTCACCTTTTCCTGATTGCAATGGGGAAACCATTGTGGGGCTTTGAACAAAAGAACGACTTGATCTTACTACTTAAAAGGATCATTCTGACTGATGTCTAAAAACAGATTGAAGGAGGGCAAAGATAGCAGGAAGGGTGCTGTTTGTAGAATTCCAGAAGAGAGAGGATAGTGTCTGGATAGTGAGGTTTAGAAGTACCCTGATTCTGGATATCCAGTAAAATTTGTTGACAAATTGTATGTGGGGCATGAGGCAGGAGACAGCAAGAGTGATTTCAAGGTTTTTGTTCTGAGAAACTGAAACAACGGAAGTGCTGTCAACTAATACGAGTATGCAACATTGAGCATGTCAGCTTTTGCTCTCATGGGGCTTACATATTGTTGGAAGATCTCTTATCTTACAAAGAATACATTGGTAAATGTGTAGGATATCTCTGGACTAATATTTGGGAAACTGGAAAATTTGACTTTGAAGAGTGGGCCAGGGGATCTAGAGTGAGAGGGAGACTTTTCCCAGATTGGCTTTTAGGTCTTTTTTTTTTTTTTTTGACAATGAGTATTTATTGATTGATGCAGGTGTCGTCAGTGCCACAGCTAAAAATACACCCCGAGCAGCTTAAAGGCAAAAAAGCTAAAGTTCTTCTTTGTCACAACGTTATAAAAAATGGTTTTCTTACATTCAGCTGGACACTTTCTCTCCCATACATACACCCACACACCCTTTATCAGATTCTAAAAGTGTAACTAAAATATAAGAATATTGTGACTAGTTAAAGACAGAAAATACCACAAGGTAACAAGTTCAAGTATTAGTGTAATAGGTTATCTGCAGAACAAACACCCTCAGAAGGGAGGACAGGGTTTGTCACAGGTTTGGTTAATTGCCCTCAAAATTTACAAGTTATCTCAGTTAAAATGTGTTGGCTGGTGAGTACATTTCAGTATGTAGAGAAATTCAGTATGTAGGGAAAAAAACTTTTAACTATAATTTTAAGGAAATCAATTTGATCTGATGATTTTTATCCTTCACACAGTAAATGCAGACCATCCCAAAGCACTAAAGCAAAAAGTAATGCCATTGTCCACCTGCAGGTCACTGCAAAGGGACTTTCAGAATCAGCCATGGAGGGATAAAGCCCACGGGCAGCAGCTGTCCCTCCCCTGGCCAGCATGTCACCCCATGGCCCATTCACAACCACATGTTCTTTGGGTGAGAAATAAATAGTTCATGTACCCTCTTGGCAACTAGTGTCTGTTGAAAAGAGGGAGCCATACTCCATTTAAGTTCTGTGAATGGGATCTCTTTAAGAGCATGACAACAGAATTAGAGATACTTGAAGATACTTCTAAAACACAGAAAAACAGCCCAGCAAATTATGGCCCTAAGCAGTTGGCAGGATTCTGTAAACTCAATTTGGCTACTATTTGTAACCCTCACATTAAGCTAGATTGTTTTAATTCTAGCAAATACTAACCTTAGAATTACTAGCCAACATTATTCCTATATTTAGATGTATAATTCTCCCTGCTGCTAAAAGCTCTGGGTAATACTTAGAACCCAACATTTTGGAGATAATGTATACTTGATTTTATCTCCTTTGTCTTGAAGGCAAAAAGTAAATCTGTGTTCTGTTGTCCTCATTAAGTACCTACTAAATGCCTCATTATATTCAGCGGATCATTACAGTGTATTAAAAAAAAACTGATCACCTCCTTTAATCAGTGCTATTACCAGTATAAAAGTTAATTTACAAAAATGTAAATATTCGTATTACTTCATCCAGCTGTATTTTCTGCTTTTGCACCACAGGTTGAAGGATATTTTAAAAATCAAAAATACTAAAACCTGAAAGCCTCAAAATAAGCTAGATTTACCTTACCTCTTCAAAAGGAAAAGGGCCTAACCTTGTATGCGAAGGAAGTCCAAACACATGACCAGCATCTGCTGTGAAGTCACTTCCTTATTTCTCCCAAATCTTCACAAAATATATGCAGTAATTTTAGGTCAAATCTATAAAAATATTTTTGCACAGTTGAAGAGCTTAGAACATGAATTCCTAAATTAGCACTCCGTTTCTTTACTGTCAACACGATTCTGACGCTGCAGCTTAAAGGACGAGGCCTTTTTACTTCTAGTGACCGGATGGTCTGTGAGATCCTCAAACGATTTGGTGGCTGTGCTGCTGCTGTTTGGGAAGGGGTCCTTCTCAAAGCCATCCTCATCCACGTGTGAGTCTGTGCTGGGGTCTTCCTGGATGGTGTCCATTCGCTGGTGGTCCAGTTTTGGAGCCACAGGCCCCAAAGGCATCACAGGAACAGGTTGCAGGGGCTGGAGGGAGCCGGGGGTCTGGGGTGCAGGAAAGGGTTTGATGATGTGAACTGATGCCGAGTCCATGCTGCTTAGCATTTCAACATTACTGGGGTGAAAGAGGGACAGAGATTCATACTGCTTATCCAGCTTCTTATCCATACAATGGACGAGAATGCTGAAAGGAATCTAGAATATCAAGGAGAAGACCAGGACAGAACCAACAATGTTGTCTGCCAGAAATTTCCCAAAAGTATTAATGCTCAACTGGTCAATGAAGTCCCAAAACCACTCAATGACGTTCTGTACTCATTTCTCACATTTACCATTCATGTCACAAAATCCTACTGTACAGGGCTTTCCTTTCCTTAAAAATAGGTTCTTCTGTTCAGCATAGACGTAGGACACACAGTGGCCTGAGGGGTCCTTGCAGCACACCTTGCAGGAGTGGTCAGTCTCGTTACATGCACAGGACTCCAGCTGCTGCTCCCTCTCACAGAAGGGAACACACTTCCCGTCTTTACATTGGCCAAGGTCCAAGCACACCGTGTCATCTGCAGCATTTCCAGGATGGGGACATTCACTGCTGTTCCCTGTGCAGTAAGACACGCCTTTGCAAGTAGCATTTATAGCCTCTTGGCACTTCTTCTGGGCAGTTTCAAACTGACAGTTTTTACAGCAAGGACTGTTCCTGTCACTGCACTGAACGCCCTGCTTCAGCGTGCAGTCGCTGCTGCAGCAGGTATCGTTGTTCAGGTACATGATGCCAGGATCGCACTCCTCTCCTTCGTCCACCCTGGAGTTCCCACATACTTTGTTGCTGTGCTCTTGAAAACACTCCTGGGCCTTGTTTTCAATGGTCTTTAAGATGGACTGTTTACTGCAGTTTGAAAACATCTTATTGTTCTCATGATCTCCACTCACAGCTTTGGGATACATAGCATATTTGCCTCCCTGGTCCTCATTCGGTACACATTCCGCTAGGCCATCCGGATCATGTTCTGCTCCAAAATTGTGTCCCAATTCATGAGTTGTAACAAGGTCAGCTTCCTTTGTAAGAATGGTTTTACCATAATTTTTTGTGCTGGTCAAACCACTATTCAAATAGATATTTTTCTTTCCAATAGGACTATAATAAGCCTTTGGACAAACACCTCCATGGCTGTTTGCTCTGGGAGAACCAACATAAGCTAATCCAAGAGTCCCCATATCAAAATCTTGATAGGTGAAAAGATGTGCTAGGCAGACTTTAGATGCTTCTTCAGCTATATCAAAGCTAAATTGCTCTAGCAACATCTTCACTTCCCAAGCATCCTTCTCTTCATTTGGATAACTTTTTGCCATATTGTAGTGCCTTTCACCAGGTTTTACCTCTTGTGGAGACTTGAGAATGCGAATCTGCTCTATCTGTATTCCATAACCTTTAAAACCTGCATTGTCCCATGAAGTGTTCTGATAGATGTCATCGACTCTGTCAATTAGTTCTATCAAGTAATTTGTAGTTGTACTCTTTTCCCCTCTGCCCATGTATTTGTAAAAGTGATGATCTGCCACCACCAGTAATTTACATATGTTCTTCATGGGATCAGGGCCAGCTCTTCTCTTCACCCAGCGAACAAGCTCTAATATGAACTTGTATGCACGTCAGGTGGCTCTCTGTCCACTAGCCCTTTTGAAAGCAACTCTTCATTATCTGCCTTCATATAACCACACACTTTTGGAGACTGCAAACGTGAAACATTCTTGGTATCTTCAGATTTATAAACTAACATTCTTTTGTCTTTAGTATCATTAATTAGTCTCCAAAGTGGCTCTATGTTATATTCTGCCCCATCTGTGTTGATTCTTACTGTAATATCATCATCTCCTAAATGGGCTAAAACCCTAGAGTCAGGCTCACCAACCACATGTCCACTGAAGAAGTCCTGCCATTTGACGGCATACTCACTTTCATCTTTACCATCTACCACCACGACCTTAAAATTCTGGGAAAAGCGTTCAGTACTTGACGTCAGGTATAATTTAAAATGCCTTTTCAAGGCTGAAAAAGTTAGTAATGTTTCTAAATGTGTTGAGGCCTGTAGATCCCTTTTTCTTACCGAGTGTTGTTGGATATTGGATAAAGACAGGATATCACAGTCTGAAAGCAAAGAATCAAGCTTTTCGAGTCGCTGCGGGGAGCCAAAGCCGGGCTTGTCCGGAGGCCGCCGCGCCAGCACGAAAGAAACCCAGCTGGTCAGGAAGAGGAGAAACTGCCTCATGTTCCCGGCCCGGCCACCAGCTTCACCTCTTTGGGCAGCCTTTGCCTGACGGGGACTCGGGACACTGCTCACATTTGGGGAAGAAGGGGATCCGCCTGGCCTGGCCCCTCAAGCTTCTTTTGCCTCCCGCGCCACCTACCGGAAGACGCTTAGAGCCCGACTCCTAGGTCTTTTTTTAAAACCAGTATGTGTTTATCTTATTTTTTATGGAAGTACAACATATATACAGAAATGTGTGTCTAAATGCTCAGCTGGCTGAATTTTCAGACTGGACATTACTTTGTAAGCAGCACCCAGATCAAGTAACAGAACATTACCAGTATCCCAGAAACCCCTCAGACTCTCTTCTAGTAACTACCTGCCTTTTCCCCTAAGGATAAACCACTGTCCTGAGTTCTAGTGGATACCTTATGTGGATAAAATGAAGGTTCCTGTGGCCAGGATTCTCACCTGGCCCTGGTCAGTTAACTCACTACACATGTTTGGGCAGTATGTTGTTATTGACTCTATATAAAGAGCCCTGCCCAGTACTCTGGGTGACACAGTAGCATGGCTGCAAGGCTCCAGGAGAGCAGAGCAGAGGCTGGAATTGTGGCAGTGCCAAGGACAGAGGCCCAGAGGATGGCTCTGTGGGTAGGGAGTTCCAGAGGCAAGAGATCGGCTTGCTGCATGCAGACTTGCTCTAGGTGAACAGGATTCTGGTGATCTGCCACTCTGGAAAGAAAGTTGAGTATAACCCTTTCACCCCAATTATGTTCTACTGTCATTTCTTTGGTCACATTGAATCCATAGTGAACTTCCCTGGGGCTGAAAACCCACTGGCAAGACAATTGGTGACAGTCGGCAGGATTCATTGGTGACCAAGAACAGGCAGCCCTCATGGAAGGAGTGTTTCAGCAGGCTGTATATATGGACGGGAGACATTCGAGTGTCCCCTGTAGACATGGTGTACTGTGAAGGGGTGGAGGACTGAGGTCCACCCCAAGAGAAAGAAAATTTGTTGCTGACTAAAATGGCATCACTATGAAGTGCTCTGGAAATGGTAATGGATGTTGTGGTGGCCCAAGAGGAAGCAACACAGGAAGGAGCAGCAGCACAAGAGGAAGAAGCACAAGAGTGCAGGCTGCCAGATGCCATGGGGCAGGGGAAGGATGTAGTGAGCCATCAGCCCCAGAAATGGAGGAGCAGAGGTTTGACGAATAGGTGGGGGTGGAGGGCCTGCCGGTACCAGAGGCATCAGCCCCTGCTTGGTTGAGACCCCACCTGGTTGAATGAAAGCTGGTGGAAAGCCAGAGGGACTCGGCAACCGTGGGCTCTTTCAGGAGAGGTACAGCCCCCTCCTCAGGTTGTGGAGCACTCCATGCTCTGCTTCTATCCTCAGGCTCAAGCACAAAAGGAAATACGGTCTGCTTCTCAAAGGAAGAATTTAAAGGGCCCCGTGAAGGTCATGAGGACCCAGATGTAGGTTGGTTTGAAAAGTCAGGAGTAGACAGAAAGAAATTGGCAACAACTGAGACTGGAGCAGTGGTTCCGGCTGCTGAGGATGAAGCAGAAAGCAGAGATAAAGCAACAAGATCGGCCTGTGTGTCTGCAAGACTTTCTGCTGGGGAGGCTGGAGAAGGTGGGTATTGTAAGGCCCACCTATGGTCCTTTTGGTTAACTCATTTGAGTAGAAGTGGTTTGAATAGAGCCAGGATGACCAGTTGGTGGCAATAGATCTCCTCAGGCTTGAGGGTTACTGTAATTTGTTGTAATTTTTGTTTTTTGTATATTGTCATAGCCTCTGTTGTTATCATGTTACTATGGAATTTGGTTACAGTGTTCCAGCTTCCTTGCACAGGGACCATTGCAGAGGACTAAGGACACATAGATTGAGAGGCAAGAATCCTAGAGGTGTGGAGTGTAGATAAAATGAAGGTTCCTGTGGCCAGGATTCTCACCTGGCCATGATTGGCTAGCTTGCTACACATGTGTGGGCAATATATTGTTATTGACTCTATATAAATAGCCCTGCCCAGAGCTCTGGGTGACATGGTTTCATGGCTGCAGGAGTGCAGAGCAGAGGCCCAGAGAGCAGCTGTGCGGGCAGAGAAGCCCAGAGGCAGAGACTGGCTTGCTGCATGCAGACTTGCTCTGTGTGGATGGGATTTAGTGATTAACCTGCCACCTTTGAAATGAAGTTGACTATAACCCTTTCACCCCAAGAATATTCTACTGTCATTTCTTTGGTCACATTGAATCTATAGTGAGTTTGCCTGGGGCCAAAACCCATTGGCAAGGCACTTGATTTTTGCCTGATTTGGTAATTAATATAATTGGAATCTTGCAGGATGAACTTTGCACATCATTTCTTCTTTTTCTCTACATTATGTTTGTGAAATTCATAACCTCACATGTAATTGTGGTTCTTTCCCATTGTGGTGTGGTGCTGCATTTGTGAATACAGTTGACCCTTGAACAATGCAGGGATGAGGGGTGCCAATTCCCTGGGCAGTCGGAAATTCATGTATAACTTTAGACTCCCCAAAAACTTAACTACCAGTACCCTACTGTATATAAAATGGGCCAATTAACTCAAGGTGCAACAAATAATAGAAAAGTAGAAAAGAAATGGGAGAGTTGTAGGGTCCAACAGAGAAGGAGAGCAAGCAGAGGGTGAATTAGCTCCTATCCTGGTCCCTGCTAGGATTGACAGCTGCCTGCAGGTGGACCAGGCCAGGGGCTGGGAAGGGTGCACCTCAAAGGTGCAAAGGTGTCCCATCTCCTTCCTCTCGGTTGCCTAACCAGGGTCTTGGCTCCTCTGCTTCTCTCAGATCCCAACATTTTTCACTGGTTCAGACAGCTAACTACCTAGTTAGCTCAGTTGATTAGTGTGGTGCTAATAGCACCAAGGTCATGGGTTCAGTTAGGTATAACATTATTCCTTTGCCATTTCTATCAACCACATCACCTGCGGAATCTGCTGCCTTGCATCCAGTGACAGATACTGTGTATTTATTGAAAAAGTCTGTGTTTAAGTGAATCTGCGCAGTTCAAATCTGTGTTGTTTAGAAGTCAACTGTATATCACAGTTTATCCATTCTTCTGTTGATAGGCTCTTAAATTATTTATTCCCTATTATTTATTATCCTAGTCAAATGTATGTTTATATTAACTTTGAATACTGTAATGTTCAATGAGTTTTTGTTGGGTTTTGGTGATACCCCTCTTTTCCTTGTTTCTTTTACCCATTTAAAAAAATACTTTTGTCTTTTTCTAGGATGATTGTAGAGTTGTCTTGGCAAAACAAGAAATTACAAGGTTACTGGAAACACTGCAAAAACAGCAGCAGCAATTTACAGAGATTGCAGATCACATTCAGTTAGATGCCAGCATCCCTGTCACTTTTACAAAGGTAATAATGTACTTCATTTTTACCTATGTTTTGTGAAAAATCAAGATTGTTTTATATTCCATGATAGCTTGAGAGACACTTAAGAAATTCATGAATGTGCAGGATTAAAAAGAAAAAAATTGTCAGTGCAAAATATAAAATAGTGTAATGAATCTCCTGGTACCTATAACCTACTTTTTAACAATTAAAAACAAATAATCTATCTTTTTCTCCACTCCCTTTTCTACCTGTAGTCTTCTAGGTTATTTTGAAACAAATTCCAATATATTTCATTTATGAAATACTTCTGTGTGTAAAAAGGTAAGGATTAAAAATATATATATAAGCAAAATATCATTATCACACTTAAAAAATTTAATAACTTCTCATATTATCCATTATCCAGTTAGTGTTCAAATTTCTCAGATTGTTAAAAAAATTTTTTTTGGCAGGGGGTGGTTTTTGAGACAGAATCCAAAAAGGCCTGTACTTGGCATTTGGTTGATATATTTTCATCTCTTTTAAAGTGAATTCCCCCTAATTTAAAAGGTTCATGTTTTCCATTTTGCTTTCTACTTTTAGGGACTGTTTTTTAAAAGTTTAATTTTGTTTTACAATTATATGAAACATTTACATGGTCCAGAGTCAAATCTACAAAGAAAGGTTCATTCAAAGAAGTCTAAATCTAGCCTCTGACCCCTCCACCCTTTTCCTCCCTTCCCCATAGAATACAATTAAGAATTGTACATCCTGGAGATCACTCCATAGCAATATACAGTGACATTTTCTGTTCCTTTTACAGCTACAAGGTACTTACTGTGAGGATGTACCACATTTTTTTTATTGTGGTAAAAAACATAAAATTTACCATCCTTACCATCTTTAAATGTATAGTTTATTCACATTGTGTGGAACAGATCACCAGAAATTTTCTTCATGAAAAACTGAAACTCTATACCTTAATAACAATAACTCCCCTCTCACAAGATCTTGGTAACCACCATTCTACTTTGTTTCTTTGAATTTGACTACTCTGAATACCTCATATAAATGTAATCATACAGTATTTGTCTTTTTGTGACTTTTCATTTAGCATAATGTTCTCAAAGTTTACCCATGTTCTAGCATTTGGCAGAATTTCCTTCTGGTTTAAGGCTAAATATTATTCCATTGTTTGTACATAGCATATCCATTTATCCATTGTAGGCCATTTGGGTTACTTCCATCTCCTGGCTATTGTAAATGGTGTTGTTATGAACACAGGTGTGCAAATATCTCTTTGGAACCTTGCTTTCGGTTCTTTTGGGTATATGTCCAGAAGTGGGATTGCTATTTTTAACTTTCTCAGGAAAGTTATACTGTTTGACATAGTGGTTGCACTATATTGTAATCCCACCATCAGTTCATAAGAGTTCCAATTTCTGCACATTTTCACCAACACTTGTTATTTTCTGTCTGTGTTTGTTTTTGATAGTAGCCATCCTAATGGGTGTGAAGTGATTTTGATTTGCATTTCTCTTATGTTGAGTATCTTTTCATCTGCTTGTTGGCCATGTTGTATCTTCTTTGGAGAAATTTCATACAAGTCCTTGGCTCATTCTTTAATTGATTTATTTGATATTTTTGTTGTTGAATTGTAGGAGCTCTTTATATATTCTGGATGTGAATTCTTTATCAGATGTATGATTTGCAAATATTGTCTCCCATCCATAGGTTGCCTCTTCACTCTGTTGATTGTGCCCTTTGAATCACAAAAGTTTTTAAAATGGATATAGTCCCACTTGTCTATTTTTGCTTTTGTTGATTGTGCTTTTGGTGTTGTATCCAAGAAATCATTGCCAAAGCCAATGTCATGAAGCTTTTCCCCTATATTTTCTTTTAGAAGTTTTATAGCTTTGGGTCTCATGTTTAGGGCTTTAATCCATGTATTTGTAATCCAGATATTTATAATTATTACATCTTCTTTGTAAGTTAATCGTTTTATCATTATACAGTAACTTTCTTTGTCTCTTATAATTGTTTCTGATTTAAAGTCTATTTGGTCTGATATTAGGATAGCAACCCCTCCTCTCTTTTGGGTATAATTTGCATGGAGTATCTTTTCCATTCTTTAAGTTTCAGCCTGTGTATGTCCTTAGATATAAAATGAGTCTCTTGTAGACAGCATATTGTTGGATCTTGTTTTTTTATCCACTTAGTCAAACTATGACTATCCATTTAGTCTTTTACTTGGGGAGTTAAGTCCATTCATATTTAAAGTGATTATTTATAGGTAAGGACTTCTTACTATTGCCATTTTGTTAACTGTTTTCTGTATATCTTGTAGCTTTTCTGGTCACTTCTCTCTTAGTGGCTTCTTTTATGTTTTATTGATTTTTTATAGTGTCATGATTTGATTCCCTTCTCATTTCCTTTTGTGTATATTCTATGGATTGTTTTGGTGTGTTTACCATTGCACTTACATAAAATATGTTGTATAGTTAGTAGATATACCTATAACACAGGTTTAGTTTTATTTCAGTTCTATAAAAAATTAAATTTGTGCACCAAAATTATAACAGTACAGGTTACTATTTGTCCATGTATTTACCTTTACCATTTTATATTTTCATATGGCTCCATGTTATTTCTAATGTCCTTTCATTTCAACTTGAAGGACACCTTTAGCGTTTCTTATGGAGCACATCTACTGTTAATGACTCCCTCATTGCCTTTTGTTTTTGGGGAAAGTCTTGATTTTTCCTTCATCTGTGGAGGACAATTTTGCTGTTTATAATATTCTTGGTTGGCAGCTTTTTTGCTTTCAGCGCTTTGAATATATCATTGCACTCCCTGCAGGCCTGTAAACTTTCTACTGAGAAAATGATAAACTTATAGAAACTCCCTTGTATGTGATGATCCCTTTTCTTTTGCTGCTTTGAAGATTCTTAGACTTTTGACAGTTTTTTTTTGTTTGTTTTTTTTTTTTGAGAGGGCATCTCTCATATTTATTGATCAAATGGTTGTTAACAAAAATAAAATTCAGTATAGGGGGGTCAATGCTCAATGTACAATCATTAATCCATCTCAAGCCTAATTCTCGTCAGTCTCCAATCTTCTGAAGCATAACGAACAAGTTCTTACATGGTGAACGAATTCTTACAGAGTGAATAAATTCTTACATGGTGAACAGTACAAGGGCATTCATCACAGAAACTTTCGGTTTTGATCATGCAATATGACCTATAAACCATCAGGTCAAATATGAATATTCATTTGATTTTTGTACTTGATTTATATGTTGATCCCACATTTCTCCTATTATTATTATTATTTTTATTTTTAATAAAATGCTGAAGTGGTAGGTAGATGCAAGATAAAGGTAGAAAACATAGTTTAGTGCTGTAAGAAGGCAAATGTAGATGATCAGATGATCAGGTGTGTGCCTATGGACTAAGTATTAATCCAGGCTAGACAAGGGCAGCAAGACATCCACGGATGCAGAAGATTTCTCTCAAAGCAGGGGGGGTGAGGTTCTGAGCCTCACCTCTGTTGATCCCCAAATTCTCACCTGATGGCCCCCCTGCGACTGTGCCTGTCTTAGGTTGTTCCTCCCTTGAGGAATCTTACCCGTCTCTGGCTAACCAGTCATCTTCCGGGGCCATACAGGGAAATGTAAAGTTGGTAAGTGAGAGAGAAGCCATATTGTTTGCAAAGGTTAGCTTTTTACTTCTTTGCAGATTTATGCCCTGTGGCTTCTATGCCCAGCACTTGTCTCGAGGTATCTTTACCACCTGGAGGAATTATGATACTCGGTAAATTCGATATGAGGCACGAATTCTATTTAAGGTTTGTAATTAGGAAGGAAGAAGAAAAGCTATAGATGTAGCATATGAAGGAAACTTGGGAGGATTGATTATTTCTTTGACATATCTTCTTGTATAGTACCTTAAGTATGTATAGGTTTTAAACTACTAACTAATTTGCACACACATATTAACATAATAGGAATACGGTGACATAAACAAAGCAAATCTATAATTACCAGCCATCTCCAGTGAAGCCAAGAAAACCATTTAGGCACCCTAGGCATTTGTGAAAATTTATCTATGATATGATGGATATTTTCCAACTGTACTTGAACCATCAGACAAATTAAAGCAGCCCATTTCTGGGATCTGTTCACATCCCATATGTTCTTTTAACCATAGATAGTCTATAGTCATGAGATTTTGGGGTGCTACAACTTGCACCCCTCCCAACTCCTGGTTGAGTTCCAACAGTACAGATCCAGTCAAATTCGTTGTCTCACTGTATGCACATGCCAGCCTAGACATCTCCCTCCTCCTTCTTATGGCAAGTCCAGGAGATGGTGGGCTGGATGCAGCCACAACCGCAGCATCGTCCGGATCCCTGTGGAGGCTTTTTGATGATCATCCCCCGGCACGAGTCCTCCAGAGAGTGCTGATGCCGGAAGCTCCTCCTCATATCGTATCTTAGTTCATTTTCTGGGTATCCAAGCTAGGCCTTGATCTTCTGCGTAGAAACAAACAGACCCTTTGCCCACACTTTGACATGCCCTCTATACCACTGTGCAGAACTCATTGGAGGTCAGCACACAGTAACTTTTTTTTTTTTTTTTTTTAATTAAGAGAAAGGAATATTATCAGAAAAGAGTACCTCCATAGCTGATCATCTGACACCCTTTAAGTGATCAACATTAAGGATATTTAAAGCATGCGTTGATCTTTGATTTACCAATAGTTTTATCCTGTTAAGGAGTAATCCCCCTTTTCTTTCTTTTTTTTTTTTTTTTTTTTTAAATTTTTAATCTACACTTACCTGAAGAATACTATGTTTACTATGCTCTCCCCTATATCAGGTCCCCCCTAACAACCACATTACGGTTACTGTCCATCAGCTTAGCAAAATGTTGTAGAGTCACTACTTGTCCTCTCTGTGTTGTGCAGCCCACCCTCCCCTTTCTCCCTCCCCCCATGCATGCTAATCTTAATACCCCCCTTCTTCTTCCCCCCCCTTAT